GCCCGCCCCCTTCTGCCCGGCCGCGTCACCGGCCCGGCTCCGGCGAGCCAGGGAAAAGGCGGGGCGGGCCCTCTGCCCATGCTCAGAGGCGCCCGCGCCAGCCCTTCCCCCAGGCGGTGGGGCGGGAAGGCCAGGGGAAGCGCCGTCTGCCCATGCTCAGAGGCGCTCTGCCCTGGGTTTTCCTGAGAAGCTTTGCGGCGGGCAGGGGCGGGGCGGCCACCCAGGAGGAGGAGGAGGGAGGGGGGATGCACTCTGCACATGCTCAGGGGCACTCCTCGTTTCTTCCACCTGGGCGTTTTCCAAAAGCCCCGTTCGGGCGGGGATCCGGCTCCGACGTGCCTGCCCGCCACGCCTTTCCCGCAAAGCTCCGTTTCCGGGTAAGGGGTCCAAGGCCCACTTTCGGCCACTGAGGAGGATTCCCCCCACCTCCGGCGGAGGGTTGCCGGGGGTGACAGACCAGCGCCGCGTGCAAGGCTACAAGGCGCCCAGATTTTACCCTGGGGAGTCGGGAGGCTCCGATTCAAGTCTAGGGGGGACCTCGAGCCTGTCCCTCCCAACCTGGCTTGCTCCGGGCTGGCCTACCTCGCAGGGACGGTGTGGCAATCCAGCGTTCCATGCTCGAGGCATGAGGGTGGGATAACGGCTGTCTGGCCCCGCGCCACATGCAAGGCTACAAGGCGCCCAGATGTTACCCTGGGGAGTCGGGAGGCTCCGATTCAAGTCTGGGGGGGGGGACCTCGAGCCTGTTCCTCCCAACCTGGCTTGCTCTGGGCTGGCCTACCTCACAGGGATGGTGTGGCACTAAAGTGATTGCACCCTGCCTTGAGCTAGCTCATTGGAACTAAGGTGAGGGATGCATGTAAAAAAAGAAGCATAAAATAAAAAAAAATTATTGGGTACAATTATGTCAAATTAGGGATTGTCTTCCCTGAAAGATCCAGGCTTCAGAAGACCTGGCCTTCCCGTAGACACCCCCCCACCCCACCCCCGGGTTTTGCAAATACACCTGGTCCAGCCAGCCAGGCTGCAGGATTGTGGCTGGATTTTCGGTTCCTCTTTGAAGGCGGCTGTTTTGCGCTTCCCGGTTCTTAGGGAAACTCTCAGCTTTCTTCTTTGGGCCTTCTGGGAAGCCCAGAGGAAGAAGGGGGGGGGAACCCAAGCAATGCGGTGGAAGGTGCGGCACCAGCAGAAAGCAAAACTCACACACATAACTGCTTCCGTGTTGTTTCCTGGAATTTGATCAGGGCCCAGGAAAATCTAGCAGGTCCTGCCTGGCACAGCACGTTTGAGAGGAGTCCCTCGTTTATTTCCTAGCCGGATTTGGTTCTTGCTGATATCCGCAGCTCGCTATGGAGAAACAACTTCCCATTGGGGTACAATGGGCTGACAGACGTGGTTTGTGGAGGAAGGATGATGGGTTGTGGAGAGGGTAGAGGATGCCAGAAAGTAGTGGGGAAAGATCTGTTTTGATCTGCAGGGCCCAGGATCGCCCCCCTCCCCCAGCCTCTGTTGGATATGACGGCTGCGAAATTATGGGATAGGTAGCCCCCATCAGTTATGCTCTCAAGATCTGGAAAGGCTGAATATTACTACAGTGGTGCCTCGCGAGACGATGATAATCCATTCCACTGAAATCACTGTTTAGCAAAATCATCATCTAGCGAAAAGCATTTCCCCATTGGAATGGATTGAAACCTGTTTAATGTGTTTCAATGGGGAAGAATCGTCATTGTCTAGCGAAGATCGGCCATAGGAAAGCCGCTTTGCAAACCACCAATCAGCTGTTTAAATCACTGTCTTGTGAAGCTTAGATCCCGAAAACACCCGTTTTGCGAGTGTGGAGGAAGCTGTCAAAATCATTGTCTAGCAAAAATCGGTTTGCGAAGCAGGGACCAAACATTGTCCAGTGAAATTCCCCCATAAGGAATCACTGTTTTGTGAATCGCTATAGCGATCACAAAAAGTCAATGTCTAGCGAAAAAACTGTCATGCGGGGTAACTGTCTAGTGAGGCACCACTGTACATCTTTGTAAAATTAAAATCTCTTTGCCCTGTCCTTCTCAAAAATGGAAAAGAAAAAAATATTTATTTAAACTATTTTTACCATCTTTCTCCTTAAAAGGACACAAAGGTGGCTTACACCATTAAAAGACTATACAAGCGCTCACGACAGTGAATAGACAGATATTTAAAAGGGATCAGGCAAACACCATACAAAAAAGATAAGTAACACCGAATTACATTTAAAGCAACAATCCAATTTGAAAAAACCCTCTCAGGCAGCCAGTCAATTAAGAGAAAGCTTGTTT